GTGAGCTGCTCTTGGCAAGGGCAATGGGACCTGCAGTCCGGAGGATCCATACCTGTCGTGCCGGATGATGGGAGTGGGCAGCACACAGGTGAGCAGCCAGCCGAACTCTGCCAGCGTGTGGATCAGGGGCCCATAGTCTGCCTTCACCTCTGACCCCTGGGCAGGAGAATTCAACACAGAGACATGTGCAGGAGCCCGTCTCACACAGACAAAGCTGTGGTTTGTTGGATTTGCAAGAGGAAAGAGGTGTGACAGGTGGTGGTGAAGGAGCTCTCCAGTGACTCACCTCGATGACCGTCCACTGCTCCACCACGATGGTGTCGTTGGCCACTGGGGGCGTGAGGCTGGGGCCCGGCTCCTCGTACACAAACAGCCCCTCCAGCGAGCGTGGCACAGGCTCTCCTGACACGCGACAACAGCGCACTTGTTAACCGCTTGACAGCACTGAGCTGCAACTTACTGCAGCAGCACAGCTGTACGAGTGCCTCTCCTGGTGTGTGTGTGTGTCTGTATCTCTGTACCTTGTCGTACAACTGTCGGCATGTGTGTGCGTGCCAGGATCTGTGGCACCTCATCTGTGCCTCTCCTGGTGTGTCTGCAGATCTACAATGTGGTGATAAAGTAAGTATACCCCCTTTCGATTTTAATGGATTAACCTACTAAGACGTATTTGACCTTCACCTAGTCTTCCCCATGTCCTAATATAGATAAAACTGACCTCATTTGACTAACACACAATTCCACATCTTTTTCACCACGCTGTATGTAATTCTGTGTGTCTGTGATTCCTCCTCGTGTTTCCTGGCTCTCTGTGGGCACGACCCCTGTGAGCCAGCGCCAATGGCAGCTCTAAACAGGAAGTGAGGTCACTGGGGCTGGCTGGGGCGGTATAATTAGTAACAGGAGGGGAAGAGAGCAGGGAGCAGGCTGGGGTGGGGTAGGAGGAGGAGAGGGGGGAGAGGGAAAGAGGGCTGGGTGGGCGGAGTGTGAAACGGGGGCACAGAGAACGAGGGCGGGAGAAGCAACAGAAGCAAGACGAAAGGCGCAGGATACAGAGAGGAGAGGGAGACAGAGGCAGGAAACAGACACAGCAGCCTCCCCACTTCTCCCTGGCTGCTGACAGCGAGCAATGATTTCACGATACTGTATGTTTAGCTTCACAGGGCAGCAGCTAGTGTGACATTTAGCTCTGCTGCCTCCAAGCATTTAAGTCCCGGGTTCCAGTTCCCGATTCCACAATGGGGTGCCCCCTGTGTGGAGTCTGCATGTTTCTCTGGGTCAGGGCTAGATGGGCTTGTGAACAAGGTGTCTGACGCTATGGGCACTGGGGCAGTGGCAAATGCGATTGGACCGTCACCTCTTGGGGTGTCCCAGTACACGAAGGAGTCCACCAAGGACCAGCCCTTGCGGTAGTAGGCAGCGGTCAGCTCAAGCCAGTCAGCCTCCAGTGCACTGACCGTCTGGCCCTTGCGGGACACCCGCATGGACAGCGCCCCCTGGTGGTAGGAGCAGGGCAGGGCAGGTGGCGAGCCCAAGCCGGGGGCCCAGGAGTGTAACAAAACCAGCAGCCGCAGATCTGAGAAGGAAGCAGAGACGAGCCAAGAGAGAGAGTGAAGGAAGGGAGGTGTCATGTTAACCGTGACGCATGTACAGCACTTATTACACAGGAGGGGGCTGTCTTCAGCCTCCACTGGAGCGCAGCCTGACCTGGGTGACCCACAGCAGCCTGCTGGGGTCAGTGAGCTGGCTCATCTGAAACAGGACACCGTGAGGCTCTGGGATCCTGACTGTGAGCAAGGTGCCATATATCCATCCCCTGTCTCTGCTATTTGCTACACCTTGACATATGTATGGATATATTATGC